TCTCTCTCTCTCTCTATCTCTCTCTCTCTCTCTCTGTCTCTCTCCCTCGCTTTGTCTGACTCGCTCTCTGTCTTTCTTTCTGTCTTTGTTGTCTCTCTCTTCTCTTCTTCTCCAAACCATGAAGGACAAGCTACGTTAATGAAGCTGCTCCCGGTGGAAAAGTTGAAGGGAACTTGAAATGTGAAACCTGCCAAACTATTCTGCTTGACATACTTCGAACACACGACCTGTCGGCAGTTGGATGATGCGAAATGAGTTCGACTGGGTTCGCCCGACAATTCACTCACAGGATGTTGTTGACTGGCTGCTGGTGTGTTGCATCCCCTATCATCCCCTGAAGAGTTTGCACAGGTGTTCAGGTTGGAGCGTTGTGTGTGCGAAAGGAGAGGTCCTGCTCCTTACGGAAGGAACCGTTGCAAAACCGAAGCGTATGTTACATCTTAACCGTTTTGTCAACGAAGCTGGTACAGTTGCCGATCCCACAGCAGCAAATTGACAAGATACCAGGACCAACAACGCGGCACGGACCCCTGGAAAACGAAGGAACCCAATGCCCGAGCTGGGGTAGCTTGTCTCAGTCCCCCGTGTTTGCACTTGACGAAGGCCTTGCAATTGCAGTATCTTCCCGGCGTCGAGGAGGGTTTGCGGCTCAGCATGTCGGCGAGCTGGTTGGTAGGTCGGGGCGCTGCCTGCTCGGTCTCGGCTTCATCGAAGATCTGCGGCGGGCGGTTGGTCCTCCACCTGGACCTCCACTACGGTCCTAAGGTCTCTGCAAGCAGGTCTCCCAAGACAACGGCGACAACGGAGTCGTGCGATGGCGTGTTTTTTGTCTGCCCTAAGCTCTTCATGCGGTCATTCGCGTGCTTCTTGTGCAACGCAAGTGCTGCAGCTTCATAGTCTTCAGGCACACCCCCATCTTTCGAGGCCCAGTCGGGCATGTTTTCCCCACCAGTCAGGGGATTCCTCGTTCTTGACCTTGGTCTTTAATCTTGCTCTCTCTGGCAGGTTGTGAGCTGGAGGCCGGTTGCGAGCTTGCCTCCGGCCCGGTTTCCGCCCAACGAAACGCCTGGGCCTTTGCTCACCGGAAGAAGTTGTAGCAGATCTCGGATCTCGTCGACCGTCACCCCACTGGCACGCTCGCTGCAAACTAGTGATGAGGTGCGCGTTTGCTGCAAATGGTTTCCCACCACGTCTCCTCATCGTCATTGATGCCTCAGCAGATCAGCACATGTCGCACTGCCCAGCGAAGTTTGTGCACAATCCTCTTACTGGACCCTCCCCGCTCGTCCTCTTCCTCCATCATTGTTTCCTCTGTCGGCTCAGTTCAACTAATCCGTCGGCAACGTTGAGGTAGAGGGCGCAGGTCCCATAGATGGTGCCGTCGTTGTAATGGATTGCTGCTACGCTGCTACGTCCATCTGCAATTTCATCATCCGGTGTTTTGCGTCGTCTTCCCTTTGCTCTGCATTCCCCCTGAAGTTGGTATACTCAAAAACGGGGCCGTCATCGAGAAAGCTGCTGCTATAGCGGTCTCCGCCTTGCAGGTTTTCTCCTGGAGGGCTCCCCGTCTTCTTGGGGCTGGCTGCTGGAAGTTGATGCAACAGGGGTCACTGCGGACGTGCGACAAGTGTTTCTCCCTGCTTCCAAGTTGGCATACCGGCCAAAGGTACACTGCTGCGGCAATTTCGGTCGCTCACGTCAAGGTAAACAAAGCAGATGCACCAGTGCCCTGTTTGTTGTCTCTTTGGGGGCGCACGGGTGGGCGGGTCGCATCCCCCATCCCCCCTCCTCTGTCCCAGCGCGGGCGGCCAGTGTTTGGGTCGCACGTGGTATACTTGAAATTAGTGGTAGCAGTGGGAGGTGCGACGTGATAAGCCCAGTCGGACTGTCTAGGGTGAGTGCCTGACATGGGTCAGAGCCAGCTGTTCCGCCGCTTTTGGTGCAAGGTTGCTGAGTGCCGGCTGTCTGCCCCTTGCCCACGGTACATCGTCTGTTGCACGAACTGTTTCGTGAAGCTCTCCCTAGAAGCTCGGTTGCGGGCTACTAGCATCAACCCTTCCCCTGCTGTGCTCTCAAGCGCTTGCTCCACATCTTGGAGCTGTTGTGTCGGCCGGTAGGCCTTAAGGCCTGAGCACTCGCGGCTTGCACCAAATTGACTGTCTCCCTCTATTTCTTTCACCAGGCTTGCGGGCGCACTCCTCTCTCTCTCTCTCTCTCTCTCTCTTCCTCTTCGGAGCAAGAGTCGGACCGTCGTCAGACCCACGCCTTTGGTGCCACCCCGTTTCCCCACTTGTCTTGTCTTGTCTGGTCTTGTCTTGCCTTGACTTGCCTTGCTTTGCTGCCTTCCCCCGGCAGAAGTTCGAATGACCGTACAGTATTGACGGAATACGAAATACTAAAGCAGGGTCCTGGGCATCAGCTGGAGGAGCTCGAAAAGAGTGGGGTTGCAAGGCAAAAACATACTGTCTCCCCCGCTGCATTGAGCAGGTACCTCGGTTTGTCACTGAACGGAACGAAGTTTTTAATCACAGCCTTGACAACTCCCCCGAATTCCCGAATTCCCCCGTTGGCTAGGCGTGGTTCAGAGTATGAAAGGTGAGCTAAAAACAGACTAGGGCTAGACGGCCCATTTGGCTTGGGGTTGAACGGAGAAGGGCGACATGGCCCGCATAAAAAGTTCACACTCCTCTAAAAATCCCCTTCAAAAAGTTGCTGCTCAGGACTTTGTACAGTGCGGTTGTCTCCATCAAGGTGTAGAGCGTCCCCAAGTAGAAGCTAAATTGCACATAGGGGGTTTCAGATCCCCCTTCCCTCACTCCTGTCGGTTGCCTTGGTAGGTGGTTTCCACTTTCTTTCACGACTGTGTGCCATGTGCGCCTGGACCTGTTGCACGCTTGGCCACATGCGGTTGGGAATCAGCTAAATTCCCCCTGCATTGCCATGGCGGTCATCAAGCAGTTCTGGTTGTCCGCGTCGAGGTTCCCTTCTGGGCTCGTAGGGACGTTGAGCCAGGATACCGGGGCTGATGCTGCGGTCCGAGGGTCGGCCTGCGTTCTCCTATGGCCATGACAGTCAATGGCTCGGAATCTGCTGGGTGTCCGTGTTGTCGTCATCTGTGCTCCCCCCCAATCGGGTGGCCTGTCCTCGTCACTTTGCTCCTTTATCTCACGTTGGCTTGCAACATCACCGCCTTGAGTGATCTCATGCTCACCAATAAGCGGGCTGGTCGTCTGCCGTTCTCCCCCTTCATCACCTCGAGCTGGGGTCTCAGTCCCCTCGGTGTCGTGGTTGTCCTTGGCACTGCTGTTTCTGTTGCATCTGTTGCTTTGGTGGCGGGGCTGTCCTTCCCCCTCCTCGCTCGTTCTTTTTTGCAGATGCGTCGTCGCTGTCGTAGAAGCTTCTTCACATGGTGTGGAAACGACATATATGCGAGTCTCTTCAGCTTGCCTCGGAAGGTACTTGTCAACTATGTGCACCAGCTTGTCGGTCAACTCCCCCGTGTGGTTGCGTTTTCTGTGCCTAGCTTGATAGGACTTGGCCATCTTTTTTGTGAGCCATTCCCCCCTTCGACACAGCCTTGTAGCATCCAGTGTAGTGTCCTGCTGTGTGTCTCGCCCAATCATTTGTCCAAAAGTTCAGGCTCGTAGAGCAGAATCATCCCCCGCTTCGTCTCGAACGCCGTCATTTAGGCAAGAGGCGGATTTGACGGAGCAGCTGAGCTTGCCCTCCTTCTTCCCCCACGGTCTGCTCTGGCTTGTCCCTCGCTCCCAGGGGAGTAGTAGGCGGGGACCAGCTCCTATGGCGGGACAGAGGCACATTCCGATTCCCCTTCGCTGTGGAACCGTGCTGGAACCGTGGAATCTGCACTCCGGGTCGGTTCTGTCGTGAGTCTTCCTGAAACCAATCGTGCAACTCCGCCTCTCTACTTGCACAGTCTGCACCTCCCCTCCATGGTTTCCATGTAGGGTGAGCTTCACTGTGTCGCCGTTCTTGCCCACGTCACGATCACTGAGTTGTCTATGTCCCCCGTCCAGTGAAGATGTACCTTAAGAACGCCGTGGCAACAAAGCCAAAGATGTGGTCGGTGAAGAAAAGCTCCCCTCCGGGAGTAGGATCTGCAAGGCGAAGCTCTTGCAGTTGCGAGGTCGCGTACAGGGAGGTATATTGCTCGAACCTGCTACGGCCCTGCGACGGGCCACTGAAGCAACGTGGCGACAGGGATGATGACTCAAGCACCCACTGGGAAAAACGGGAAGGCTTCCCTGGAGTGACAGTCCAGGTCAAGCCCCCGTCTCCCCCCGATGCGAGGAAGGCGTGACAGGCCCTCCAGCAAAGGTGCAGCACTTGAGCCAAAAAAGGCTACTCTCTTTCTCTCTCTCTCTCTCTCTCTCTCTCTCTCTCACTCTCTCTCTCCCGGGGCAAAAGAGGAGGGCGGACCACCCCCCCCTTTGCGTGCGCACGCGCATCCGCGGTCCACGGGTTTTGCGTATATCCTCTATGGGGTTTGCCCATAGAGGCTCAGCTGTACAGGAGCGAGAAGACTGGGCTTCTAGGGTCCGCATTATGCCCCCATTCGTAAAGCAAAAAAGAATGACGCTAACAAGTTTTGTGTCGGACGTACACAGAAAGCAACAAACTGAGGCTCTGGAGTGTTCATAAGCCCCGATGCTATGTGTCGAATCCCCCCCAAGTTGAAGCAAGTGGTAAACAACGGACCATACATTGTAGCAGACAAAACAGGTCACACGACAAGGCTGCAGGCTTCAGTTTGGGGAGGTGCTTGGAAAGAGGTGCCAAGGCAAAAACATGCATTCCCCCGCCTCATTTAGCGAGTACCTCAGGCTACCATGGGTGGAACAAAGCGAATTGGGGCCTTGGTGTTGCCTCATGAATTCCCGCAAAGAAAGGAGCTACTTGTACAGATGTGTTAAGAAGAAGCTTGGATTCAAGGGCCAGGTCGGGCCGTGGAGTGAAGTTTACCTGAGAAAGCATTTACATGGTCACAGATTCTCTTTCCGCTGCTGCTTTTCGCGGGCACGTGCCTCTGCACTGTCCTGACGTCCCGCCAAATGCGGTTGGGGATGAGTCGTACTCCCCCGTCTTCACCACCAGGGCCATCTCCTTGCCGTCGGGGTTCCCCTGTTGGTTCGTTGGGGCGCTGTCCGAGCACTCCTCTGCTTTGCCCCAGGTCGGAAGGGCGGCCTTGTTCCCCCCATGGCCAACTGCTGAGCTGCATCTCCTCATCAGTTTGGCTGTCCCCTCCCCAGTCCGGTGGGGTGTCGTTGGCCATGGGCTGCTCCTTTATCTCATGGAACTGGCTTGTTCCCCTGCTCTCCGCTTTCGCATGCTCTGCCCCACTGATGGTCTCCCCCATTGCTTGTACTTGTTGTTGTTGAGCATCATCCTCACTCAGCTCGTCTCGGGTTGTTGTCCCCCACTTCCGCTGCATGCCTCGGTCTTCTTACTGTAGCAGGTGGTCCCCCTTCTCGTCGGAGCTTGTTGCGGATCTTCCTGACTTTGGGTAACAGCTGTTTGGCTCGTCCAGGAAAACCTGCAACATAGGCTCGAGCCTCGTCCGCCTGCAGAGGAAGGTACCTGTCCACTATATGGGTAAGTTTGTCTGCTGGTCGTGCCTCCTCATTTCGGGCTGCATGTCGTCGGCAGCAGGCTCTGTGTTGTCGCGCCTCCTGTTTGGTAGGAGTCCCCCCTGTCTCCTTGTCGATGAGAACTCCGACAGCCTGCACGTTGGATCTGTTCGGTCGTGGGTTTTCCTCATACCTATAGTGCAGGTCCCCATTGCGTACCTGCAGATTCTGCAAGTCCCCACCATTGTGATCTTCACTATGTCGCCGCCGTTCCCCAAGTCACGGACACTGAAATGAGGTAGTCCCCCTCCCAGCGAACAGGTAGGTCAAGAACGGCGTCTGCGCAAACGAAAAGCCCTGCGGGATGTGGAAGGTTGTCCCCCCCTCTGCAGGTGCTGCAAAGGAGAAGCTCTTGCACTGGCCAGGTCACGTTCAAGGGTGTAAGTATCACGGACGTCACTTTCACGATTATGGCTCGCGTCCTATGGTTTCCCGGACAGGGCCACTGGAGCGGAACAGCGACGGATATTGGACTCAAGCCTCCCCATACCTGACGGCGCGTCTACCCAGTGGGAAGGTTGGGAACAACCAGCTATCCCAAAGGGCCGTCCTCAGGTGCCCCCCAAAGGGAGCGGCAGGTCGACTTGAGCCAAAATGGCTATCTTTGTTTTGCTTTGCTTTGGGGATGGGGCATGGGCAGTCCCCACACCCCGCGCTCCAGGCGCTACCCCAAATGGCTATCTTTCTTTCGTAAGGGATGAAGGCCAGGGGAATACCCCCCTAGCCAAATGGCTATCTCTCTCTCTCTCTCTCTGACTGAGGTACATGCACCCTCTCGCCTACATCAACATCCGGGTTGTACCACTGGCTGCCGTCCTGAACGCGCTCCTTGACCGACAAAGGCTCGTCACCTTTGCTGTGGTGCACAACGAGGCCTGAGCTGGAAGACACCATGACAGTCCCTGCAAACGCCGCAAAGCTGTCCAACGGCTGAGACACTCGCTCTCGTCGGAATCCAGGGACTTCGGTCGATGACTTCGGCCGGCGATGCTGCCTGCCAGTGCAAGCTCCCATCCAGGCACCTATGCAAGCCTCAAAAGCAGTCGTCTGTTGCTCAGTTTCCAGGTCGCCATGGTCGCCTCGCCTCCGACGGTGTGAAGAGCTGTGGCCTGAGATGGCATAGGGATAGGGATGCGAAGGGTACATTTCTCCGAATGCACAAAAAGGGGGGCCAGGAGAAAGACTATGGGATGCCCACGCTGCTGACTTCAGGGAGAGACAAACAAGTCGAAGCGGAATGCGCCAGCGAGTAAGCAATGACGAACACACATCATCGATCTACTCGCGAGGAGGTAGACCAGCTTGCGGATATAGTCGAGACATGCATACAACCCGTGAAAGCGCACAAAATGAAGCTACATCGCGCAACAGTAAACAATCAAGCAGTCAAAGGCAGCGCGCAGCAACAACATGGCGGGCGGTTTAAGAAAGCGGCCGACAACTCCTTGCACCACAACTCTCAGATCCCAGCAGTGGTACCCGTAACTCCTGTGTACGCCGTGTACCCAGTCCTTGTTCTCGAAACTTGTGGCAGGCTAGAGCCAGTGGGGACTGATTCATGCAAGTGTCTGCCCACTCAACCCGCTTTCGCTTCCGTTAGCCCTCATTTTTCTCTTCCTGCACACCAGCAGCAGAGAAGAAGAAACCGTTCAACAGCTTCTGAAGATCCTCTTCTTCTCGGGGACCTGAGTGAACACACACTCTGTATCAGCATCAGAGCAGCATGAGCAGCTCTGCTTGCTGGCCTGCGTCTGCTCGATCGCAATGATTTTCTCGATCCACGCACGAACGTCAGTCCGTGTTCTCGGGCAGCAGATCTGAGAGCACTGTGCTTGGATCTAAACTCGAAGATGAAAGGAGCCGCCTCGTTGACCAGGCGCGTCCGCTCCTCCTCGAGCTCAAGCGGATCCCTGAGCCAGACATTTCCACGGATCGGACACTCGGACACTGCAAGGAAAGGCCTTGCCTGGCTTGGGCAGCCGGAACTGACCTGACACTCGCATGAAGCAGTGCACTCAGTGCACTCACCATTCTGGTGCCATCGTCATTCCCGAATCGAGTGCTTTTGGGTCGAGGCTCGCTAATCACAACCGCGGCTCCTTCCTTCGAACGTCCAGAGGCCTGTTCTTGTCCACTCGACGTCAGCGTCACAAGCCGAAATGCCGAGTGCCAATTAGTCTTCGCCCCTTGGCCGACCTTCAGGTGTTTGACGGTTCCACTTCCTGCATCGCTGTGTCGAACCTGCAGTGGGATCACCGTGACCGCCATGACCAGCAAAGAGCAAAAATTTGGTCCAGAATGAGCGTTTCACGGCATTGCGTGCTTCGTCTGCGCGAGATGGGACTACCTGGCGCGCACCAGACCGCATTGCAGCACAACTCCGGCCATGACGGAGATTCACGAAAGGCAAGAACCAATCCAACTCCAAAGTCGTCTGGCCTCCTCCTCCAAGTCTAAGTCATCTAAGTTCTTGTTGATGAGGTACTCCTTCCTCGACTAAGGGAGGCTGTAAGGATCATTTAGGAGGCACGACCGCACTTCCTATCTTACATGTCCCGAGGATACTGCAGAAATTGCTGCGTAGCTTGCTCATCTGCGAGGGCCTGGGTCCTGTTGCACTCCGCAGGCGGTGCAGTCGCTTCGTAAAGAGTTCACGAAAATCACAACAGTGTCTATGTATGTATGTGTATATATATATATATGTATATGTATATATATATATATAGATAATTGTAGATATGTATGGTCCCGCGTCGCCGTGTCAGTGGCTCCCCCCCCCTATGCCCCCCCGTTCCGCAGCACTCTCAGGTGAGCAAACAGTCACAGGGATGGTGCTCGTCCGCCTCATCATCATCATCCTCGTAACTGTGGACGAAACTCTCGCGCCAGCACGCGCAACCCCCGCCCCCCCCTTCCCCACAAAGATGGGAATGAGGGCGATGACGCCGAGGACAATGACGATGACGATGATGTGCTTCTTGCATGCTGGTATTCGGAGTGCGACTATTGGTAGCACCACTGCTCTTATGCTGTTCTGCCCTTAGGTACCGCATGCTTGTTTGGTTTGATTCTCTTCCGTAGATTTTCGTAGTCTGTACCATTTTATGCTCAGTTTCGGTTGGGTATTTTAAAGTCAGCCCGAGCATGTGCTTGAATGACTTGCATTCAGGAGTCTTGAGCAAGGGACCGGAGGAGCGTGCGCACGGGGATCATGATTACCATCTTCGAGGGAGGGACAGGGGGTAAACCCACACCACAGGCAACCACAAGGGCGGGATACCAGGGGGTCGGGGGGGTAGGCGCGGCCCAGCAGCGCTGCACCATATGTACGTGTGTGTGAGTATATATATATATATGGTACGCCCCTCCCCCCCCCCAAAAAAAAAAACTACGTTTTGCAAGGTTCTTCGTGTGCATCCACCAACTCTTCTCAGTAAATCCTGGATCCAAGAGCTGGCCCGAATAAGCGAATAAACCTGAATAAGACCTTCTTCGGGGCAGGATCCAAGATCCAAGGTCCAAGATTCTCAGGAACTTTCCTCAGCAAATCTTGGATCCTGGAACTGGCCCGAATAAGCGAACAAGCCCCAGTAAGCCTTGTTCGGGCCAGGATCCAAAATCCAAGATCCAAGATTTCTTGGGGAAACTTCTTGAGAAGCTTGGATCTTGGATCTTGGATCCTGGGCCGAATAAGGGTTTATTCGGGTTTCTTCGCTTATCCGGACTCCTCCCTGGATCCAAGATTTCTTGGGGAGACTTCTTGAAAATCTTGGATCTTGGATCTTTGATCCTGGCCCGAATAACGCCTTATTCGGGTTTATTTGCTTATTCGGGCACCCACTCCCTTCACAAAACACTACTGTTATCGCTATGACCACCATCACCACCATCACCGCCGGTACCACCGCCACCACCCCCACCACCACCAACACCACCATATATATATATATAATATTATATATGTATATGTATATGTATTATGTCTCTGTATATGTAAACCCCACACACGGCTACACAAACTCAGCCGTCAACTTTTTGCTGCGACTCTGCACGCTCATCACGTTCTGCCAGCCCTCAGCGACGTGAATACTGCGACTGATCAAAACACGAAGATACGATGTGTCGAAGACTGTCGCTGACCAATTGACGTCAGCATTCCATCAAACATGCAAGCTGTTGGATTATCGTACAAGATTTGGAGCACCCATCGGATAAGGCTGCTTCACAGCGATTGGTGCACGCGAACAGTCACTCAGCAAATCTTAGCGTGCAATATGTGTAGTTTGAATTCATGATGGAGCCACACGGCTTCAGGAGCTCGTCAGATCACGACTTTTCCGACATGTCGGTACCAAAAAACCGTCCGTAAAGTAAGAGTTAATTCAAGAAAGCTCGGCTCAGATTTTGCCACTTGGCAAAGGCTTCGTCTCGACGCAGCAACTATCGACAATACTCTCCTATCGAACGGGGATACACTCCTCCGAAAATTACGTTCATGAGATACTTAATACGCAAAACAACTGTCAACTCCCCCAACCAGCAACTGTCAACAGGCGTGTGCTTCGTTGGCACAGCATGGCCCGGCTTTGAGTCAGGCCGATCGCAGGAGCTTTGCAACTGCAAGGTGGAAACGTGAATTGCCGACGCAGCATTGCAGCGTGATCTCCCGTCAACCAGAAGATGGTCTACAAGCAAAAGCAACTGAAGAATCCCATTTCAACTCTCCACGGCTAGGTGATTGGTCATATCATCCTCTCTCGGAGTGGGCATCGCCTGGATTCGCGATTTCAGCACCTTCGTCAGCAAGAGACTTGGTGAAGCGCTGCCGCCAAAACGAGCATGCACACATACGGCATTTACTATATACGTACTCGTGAGCTAATTGAAGCATTCCTGGGATGAGCACATCTTTTTCTCGGAGTTTGGCTTTTTGAGCTCGCGCCTGTGTGCTTGTTCAATGATATAGTCAGCAGAATCGTCCAGCAAGCCTTCTCGTTCATTTCACCCGGATGGAGGCCAAATTCCATGTCCTCCTCGCATGGACAAAAGCGAAATCGCAACGACAGAGAGATGATGGCCCGGACAGGTCCATCTCAGGATAGTCCACGAAGGCCGGCCCTTCGCGAGAATCCATGATGATCGCCTGGCTATCCTTGCGGCTTGGCAAGTCGGTTTCGCCAGGTCTGCTTTTATGAGGTCCTGTGCGTCTGCCAAGTAGTTCTCCGGAGCAGCTTGGGCCCGACCACAAGTCCTTCCAAGAGCCAAGAAAGAGCCCACATTTGGTGTTCGCAGGGCCCCCAGGGCCCCGCACAGAGTCGAGGCCAGACCAGGGCCAAGATGCTGGCCCACGGAACCCAGATCCTTTCGACAGATTTGCACTGGCGGCTCTTCAACACGCTCAATCACACTCACATACGAATAGCCTTGCAGCATTCCCCCTTCGAACAAACCGAACCAAGCCTGAACAGCCAGAACACATCTGGAAGACCGTTGGCCATGCCGCTGCTGGCGTTCGCATGACGAAGTGGCTCTCGCACTCTGTGGCGTGCAAGCTTTGCCGAAAGCTAGCTACTCATAAATACTCAGACAGCTGTGGCAACACTCATAGTGACGATGTTTTACTGAGAGGTGTCAGAAGCAAGCGGAAAGTAGAGAAGCCCTTTTGCCAATATGTGTCAGTGCGAGGCTGCACAAGCATGCTCCAACAATTCTGATGCATGACTGATCGCTCAATGATGTCCTTCGTCCATTTGTTGATCTTGTCCGCTTCCAGGACCTTTAGAGCATCTACAAAGCGTGGGCAACACATACAGACACACACACACACGCGCACTTGAAACAGGACAGGTGTTGTGGATCCTCTGTCGTCACAAGCCCTGCCATCCCAGTGTGGTCGTTCGCTCTAGCTCTGGGCTCGAGGGCCCGTTCGTCTGCAAGCTGCATGGGGATTCGAGAAGCCGAGCGGCCTCAGCTCAAGGCCGCTAAACGAGCAGGGAACGGGAACGGAACTGCATCTCAACTGTGCCTGCACAGTCTGCGAGAGGCTCCAACGAGGCCAGCCTCTGAGAGGGCACGTCTGTCCCCTCCCCAGTACTACGGCCGTTCTTTCGGAAAAGGCTGAGTGAAGTGCCCTGCTTCTGCCTGTCCGGCGACTTTGGCAGAGCAAAGGCTGGCCTGACCAGGCTCAATGTCAAGCCGCGATAGTCCCTGCCAGGCCATCGGGCCAAAACGCTTCGGAGCTTTTCTCGCGACCAGACTCTTGAAACTCGAGTCGAGGGCAGCTACGCTACACAGCTACAGCTACCTTCAGACTCAAGGCCCAGCTTCGCTCTCAAGCACGAGCTTGCCTTTCAGCCAGGGCTGCAGAGAAGGCAAAACAAGGCCGTCTACCAGCCTTCGTAAAGAATGTCTTGGGCTGGCTGTAGAAGCATATCGCCTGCACACACCAGTACAAAAGTACAAGGCCCTGAACAAGACCGACACTGCACATTCTGCACTAGCAGACCTGGCGGAAGGATCGCTTTCGACTGCTCCTGAACAAACCAAGGGAGCCAATCGGCAAGAGATGTGGAGCATTCGCATGGCTCGGCTTTCCTCCCTGCATGTCACATGCCGCAAAATGACAATGCGTCCAAGCCGCATATGCTGCTTTGTCATCCCAGACTGTAACACCTGAAGTGCAGTGAGAGCAGGGGACGACTCCACGCACCATCACGCACCGACGAATGCACATGAAAAACAATGCCCCAGTCCAAGGATCTTAAATAATTGCAGTTGTCATCTGGCGCTTGATCACGACGCAGAAGTTGAGAGAACCGGAAACCCGCTGTGTCCTGAACCAATCGCCAGCACTGAAGGCGATCTGCGAGAGGAGACATGTTGAATCGAATGTCCGATATCCGGAATGTCACAACATCCTACGATACCGATACACTTCTGAGTGCTAGCGAGGTGAATGATGCCGTGCACAGCACATAACTTGTCAGCAGATGTCAGGAGTCTGCACTTGCGGGCGGGATATCACGATTCCCACCCATCCACTCCCGAGAATCAGCGGCATCATCAGGCTTACCCCGGAAGCGGAAGTGTTGGTAACAGCTTGAATCTTAAAATTATAATGATCGAACGTCATTCCGGTGAAAAGGACGTCTGTGGCCAATGTGTGCGACGGCAGGAGCAAATGCTCCTGCAGCTTGTCTTTCTGCTCGTTCCACAACTGCTCAAACTCCGTCTTCGACTGGTCCAAGACGTTGAATCGGGTGGTCGCGACGAAGACCTGGCACAAGCACACAAAGACCGAGAGACAGAGAAAGTGGGGGGAATGCCTCGCACTCTTTCTTGGAGTCCATGGAAGACTAATGAAGTGAATGAAATGAATATATATATATATATATAAGTGCTGTTGAAAACAACTGAAAAGGGACCCTAAGAGACTTTCTTTGCCTCTGGGCGGCCTCGGGCTCGAGCAGTTCTTCGCCATCGGCCTCTGGTCGTCCACCCGGGCCCGACACCAAACGATCTCTTTGCTCCGCTGACTTGAGCGGCAGCAGTCCTCAGCAGAAGCAACTGAGAGAGATGGACGTCATGCCGTGATCCGCCTCGCCAGAAGGATGGCTTCGGTGGTCCCTTGCTCGTCATGAAGGAGCTCATGACCATTCCAACGAAATCCTGAAAGAGCAACGGGCAAGCCTTCACCCATGAAACAAGCAGCGGCACAGCTCCAGTCCAGAATCCCGCCGCCGCCATGAGCTTCTTTAAAGGCCGGACCTTTCCTCCAGAAGGTGAAGTCTTTCTTCGTCTCCCAGATGGTGAATGATACATAGCCTCTCGCCACTTCATGCAAAGATCTCTCGCGAGCCTCACATAAATCTTTCACCAAAGGGCTATACTCATCTGGGAACGATTGCTGGTCGTTTGGCAACCTCCTCATCAGTGAAAACCATCCTCAGTTCAGCTTGTCAAACGAACGTGCTGGCCCATGAGTCCTAGGATGCTGACACTCAGTGCAGTCTGCAGTCGAAAGCCGGGAAGAGTGAGCAGCGAGGATTTTCGTTTCGCCCATCGCTGCTCGAAAGCAGCCTCGGCACCCTGACAGTGTGGCTTCCGGGACGGTGGAAGCTTGAGTTGCCCGTGCTCTACTTAATAACTGGTACAGGGGAAAGCTATGTTCGTCGCTGAGGAGTTCTCTCCGGTACATAGGCTTGTCGGTCTGCCCAGACCGTGCAAAACACCTGAACCGCACGAGGTAGAGCCCAGAGCCAGCAGGGACGTGGACCGCCCTTTGTTCGGTAACGAAAATGAACGGCAGCAACCCGCAACAGTCTTCGGCACAATCTCAGTTGGAGGACAGATTGACAGATTGTCGCCGTTGCCGTGACTGTCACGTAACAAGCCGAACTCGAAGCAGAGTGGCTGCTGCTACAGCATGGCTGTGGCACGCGGCTTTTCGCGAAGCTATCGATGTTGGCACGGGCTTCAACAAGCAGGCTGCACAGGTTGCTGCCGTCGACGCGCCACACTTTTTCATTCGGGCTGAGTTTCTGCACGCTTCAGGAGTTCATGATTTGTGCCACTCATATGCAGTTTATTCAAGCTTTAGAGCTTAAAGCTGAAGCTGTGGATGGGACAATGTACTTACACAGTGGGATGACGAAAGCTTTGACATTGACGGCAGAAGCTTTTACATTGTAGGTTGTTGTCAGGGTTGGCAAAGGCTGAAAGAGAATGGCAAAGGTGTGGGTCTATGTGGGAGACAACACTGGCAGTCCCACCGGGCTTCTTCAGCCTTTCACATCCTTTCTGGTCTTCCACAAAAACCGTGGAATCGAAATGCGATGTGGAGGCTTTAGTAAACTTTAGTCCGAAGCCACGAAGCCAGGAAGACCACGCCATTGGAGGCCAATGACTCGAGGAAACGATTTACACTCATCTGACCCTTGCAGCCCCCGACACGCCCTCGACTCCTGTTTGCCTTGCTGGAGATGGACATGCAGGAGACTAGGACCCAGCACGTGAATCGAAGACGAACTGTTTTTTCGTGCATCGTTGAAATAAGTTGAAGCACGGCGCATCGTTGAATGAAGTAAGTGAAGGCAATCTTGCACAAAAGTAGCCATTCCACACAGCCAAGGCAAGTGGCTGCCCCTCGATTGCAAAGCCTGCCATTATCCCGCTAAGAACATCCCAAACTGCCGCAACTGCGAGCCCGCCTCGCGCACCATGAAACCTCGAGTGCTCTGTGTTGCAACGCAGCAATGCAATCCTGCCCAGCTGAGCCCGGCACGGTTTGAGGCAATGTACCTTTCGCCAGTTAACAATGCCTCCGGTCCACACAATCAGCGCACCTCTGGGTTAAGAGGGAAGGGGCTATAAGGGGCCCAGCTACGGAGGCCAAAACTGTCTTGGCATGGCAAGCTTCCATTCAGTGTTCCTTTCTTTGTCCACAGCGAGCTATAGTCCGTCCCTGTGTGCTGTGATACATGCTGGCGAAAGTCACTGCATGGTGAGAAGGTTAAATTCGTCGGCACCTGAGTATCCACCTCCGGCTCGGCTGCCACATCCACTGCACGCAGGTTCGTTTTGGGAACACGCTGCTCCTTCACAAGTGTTCAAGCATGATGCAGACAGTGGCAAAGCAATCTCGTGTGCCTCCGTAAAGAGTTTGCCCACACCAACGAAAGCAGCAGCATGCAGCCCAAGCACCAGGGCGATCCTCAATGCTTCTGGCTTGCCCTGTTGGGACCCCGTTTTAAGCATGGCACAACCCGTAAGCCGCAGGCAAACATCCACTGGACCTTGGCGAAAAGAGTTGGTTGAACAAGCTGCTGAAGCTTCACCGAGTGAAACATACACGTGCCTTGACATCACTCCATGACTGTGAAATCGGGGCATGTTGTAGCTCGTTTAGGGGGTAATCTCCCGCATGAATGGCCGGTTAGATCCAGAATCCTTATCACCAGCAACTCCATGTTTGCTCGGTGACCCAATGCCTGCACGGTTTCTCGAGCCCATCAGCGGGAAGCTTGCGGCTTGTCGCGGCTGTCGTTACTCCAACAAGCTCGACTTCAAAGAGGCGGCAAAATGCTGTCGTCAATCAAGGCGTCACAGGTGCAGACCAGAGCAAGCACACACAACATCTGTGGAATGGCCGCCCGTGCCTCCGCGCCCATCTCTGGAAATGCCAGATCTCTTTGTCAGGACATCCTACAATTTGCATGACCGGTTTACACTTGAAGTCTTGTTTGGCTAGCGGCTAGCCTGTTTTGGTCCTATGATGGCCTATGCATCCCGACAACCCAACATCCTCACCGTGCTCCCAACCGTCAACTTACGTGGAGCGAAGCCTCGGAAGATTCCGAGATCCTAAAGTCACCTCCAGTTCGAGCCAGATCTTCATTGCAATTCAAAGACAGCCAGACTACCGAAAATAATCCATGACGTCGCACCCTTTTGCATACTCAATCCCGCATCGTGACTTCTGCTGCTTCGCAGCTAAACGCGGAATGCGCCACAGCAGCACTTTGAGTGCAGCACAAGCATGCCTCTAAACTTAAACAGATTGACATCAGGTTACTCCTCCACAGAGCACCAGCTGCGTCTATCCAATCCGGCTTTCCGGTCTCAGGCCACACCTTGGGCGTGCCTGGCAATGCAGGTAAACCTCAGCGATCCACTTTGCGCCAGTCTCAAACATCAATCAAAAGCGTCTGCTGACAAACCACGTGTATCTTGGCCGAAGACTCCTCGAAATTAATTGTGCCGTCGTTGGTGGTGTCCAGAACGGAGTACAGCTCCACTGAGGCCCCAAAGTATCCCAACTGCCAACTGTATTCAAATTCGACATGCCCCTGCACTCTAGCATTGTGACAACACACGCCTCCTTGAGGCCGTTGCTCCACTCTTCCTCGGTTCCATCTATCTGGTGAATCTGCACGAAATAATGAGAAGCTTCACAGCGTCCTGAGACATTTCTCCATCTCCACTCTTCTCCAAGACAGCCCACGCCTTGCAAAACCATCCTAGGATCGTTGCACAGCTGCTAACACAGGTCCGGACCTTCGCAATCTCGCCATATCTCCATATGAAGAAATCATGCAGCTCCCCAGTCTGGACAAGAGGCAAGGCAATCAAGGGCAGTGCAGTTCATATCATATTCCAAACGCCTGTCTGTCCAGCTCACGCTTCACTGTATCCAACTGGAGCCACTCCTGTCACATCGAGCTATCATTCTGTGTCCGTCGATGGCTGAGGCAGGGATCTCAACAGGGGTGTGGGGTGCGCGCGCACGCACGCGGGCGGGTTGGCGGGCCGGCCGGCAGACGTGCGGGCGTGCCCGCATTACGTTCGAAGCCGTTCATACTGCTTGCATACTGCTTGCACTGCATGTCTCACTCAGGAACCGGAGTGAAATCGCGAAGGGTGCGCCGGGAGGTCTGAGAGCTGTCATTTTTGCGATGGTTGTGACACTGTGGAATTCATTCGGAAAGCAGTCTCATGCGTAAGAACATCCCGGACTCCACTGCACCTCAACAGAAATGGAGCCCTCGAGCGTTGCGTCAAGGTAGCGGAAAATGGCCCGAAACCCTGCCATCATGGAGGCAATCAGACTGCAACTCGGCAGCCCAAGACAAGTTGCAATGATGCCGGAGGTGCGTTCGCGGCGATTGTTACCGCGGAACCGGGAATCTTCAAGCCTGCCATGCACCAAAAAAGGGTGCCTTCCTGAAATCGTGGATTTGTCAGCAGCACCTGTCGCAATACTCCTCGAATTCTTTCAAGGTGATTAAACCTTCAAATGTCGACATGCCGATATGCAGGTACACCATGGCAAACCAGGGCAGTTGCTGTTAGTAAGCTCCAGGCCGTTCCCACCACCACCATCAATGTCACGAAACGCCTACGAAACTACGAAATACGCGTCGCACGCAAGAGAGGGTGTCACACAGAAGCAACCGCGAGTCGACAAAAGAGCCGTTAGAATGCATCACCGCTGACATGTCTCCCACTCCGACTTCTAGGCTTGGCTGCATTCTGCGGGAGTAAAACTAGATCTGCAGCTAACATTGTTAGATGATGTCTCATGTCGGTCTGACATTGAGTGAACTGGTCTTCGGCTTACCGGGAAGATGTCACCCAGGTCGACAGACTAGACCATGGCAATTTCGTACTGGAAGCAACCTCGCAAAACTGAAAGCAGGCTTGTTGGTTCTAAGCGAGCAGCTGCTGCTTGAAAAATGCTCGACCACAGTGTCGAAGCTCCAGTTACAAAACAGTCACCGTACCAGAAGCTGCATTCGTCATGAGATCGTATCTGCCATATTCTGGCAGAATCTGTCCCAAGTGTCGTGACTTGCGGTGTCCGGCTTCGTCCAGCCTCCACATTCCTGATGGCCCACAGACGCGGTTTGACAAGGCAAATACCGGAAGAGGTCGCCGGCTGGAGCATTCTTGTGTTGCATTGAAACCACGTACGGTGAAGTCTCAGTGGGCGCGCATTCTACATCCCGCTGTTGTAACCACATTTGGACTGCGCACGAGCTTGAAGCCGCCGCGCGATGCATAGATGACAGCGAAGAACACTCACAAAAGGTGATCCTGCGACCGTTTGCAACAAGAGGCTACGCTCCGAAGAGGGGTTTACTTCCCCTCTTCAAGCACTGCACCAATGGACATTTCCGTGCAAGACGAAAATCAAGATGGGCTTTCATTTCTTATCAAATGTTCTGCAGGAACAACAGGAGCAAACATAAACAGCGAAGCCAAGCAATAATAAACATCGAGGTGCAAACGATGAAGCGCACAGACACTCGGTATGCACGCGTAATATGCGACAGGGAAAGCACAAGCTGTGGGACACTGCTGCGTCAGCGACCAGGGTGACCACCCAAGACATGCATGGTCGAAAAATCCTCCAGAGCCATCCTGGCCTCTTTCAGATTGTCACGGTACTTTTCTCGCATGACCTCTCTCGCCAAGTCGACGCCAATCAAACACAAAAATGCCATGCTCAGCCTCCAGGAAGCGGATGATGTCAAGGCTGACATCTGACAGAGTGGACCACCAAGATACATCCTGACAGAGTGGATAAAAGACTTCTTTCAGAAACCAGGCGCAGATTCTTTTCCAAGCATGAGACTGTCATTGCAGCCATTACGACCCTTCTCAATCATGAGGTTGACCATTTTCACGTGATGCGATCATTTCCGTGAAGTTGCTTGCATTGTCGGTTTCGTCGGATGCCCTTTGAACAACTCAGAGAAAAAGCAACAGACCCAGGAAGCATGCCAAAAGGTCACGCTTCAACTTCCCTGCCGACCATGTGCAAAGACATGAATGCTCCCATTCTAACCTCCTGCTTGAGGGAAGGTGTGCGCCATCGCCTGCTCGACCAGCTTTAACTATTCGAGAAACTTCGACAACTGCTGCAGCAGACACAAGCTGAGGTCACTGCCCATAGGCTGCAAGGAAATCAATTCGCGTCTTCATGTTGCGCTTCTGACACATCGACGGGACAAGCAAATAACGTACAATTCCTCCAAACACCTGCAGGTAACACGGCTCCGATCTGCTGTCGCCTCAGGTGCCACAAAGTACTTCGCTGCAAAGGTCCCCGCCTGAGCAACGAGAGAGAAGACAAGACACTCCCACTACGCCAGCTGACCCATTAAATGATGATTGGAGTAGGGGAGAAGGTGAGGGTGAGGGAGACCGTGAAGGTGAGAGTGACGGCAGCTCGAATGTCGCTGACTAAACAAGGGCATACGGGCAGTGCCCAGTTCACTCGTCGTCTTCTCCCTCCGCTCGATTGGCTCGTCATCTTTGAGGATGCGAACTGCGATGAAGTTGCTCTGCGACTGGTCTATGAGATCCCGGGCCTCACAAAGTCTCACCTCCGTCCAGCAAGGCATGGATATTATCCAGGGCTCGGTGTAACCACTGTGGGCTCCTGTTAGGAGCAGGTAAGGCCGATACCTTCTCATCAAGACATGTAGTCGCTGCTCTAGTTTGGATGCATGCCAACGGGCTTGAAATCTCGTAAGCCGCGAAGACCAAGCTCTCTCATAGAAGAGCAGTGCACGCGAGCTTCGATCGGCGAACTGGTTGTTGCGCCCATCTTGAGATGCTTCTTGCCAACCGTCCACGAGCTCAAGCAGGCGCACCCTGGTAGAACACATCACCCCACGACGCGGAGAGGGCGTGGTGTGGCTAGGCCCAAAGGATTGAGGTTTTATGCGAATCTGCCAGAGCTCTCGGTGCGAAACCTGCGTCGTGTCTCCGACGAGGCATGGTCATGTCAACAAATCAGCAAGCTATGCAAACGGGAGAAGACCAGGGAAAAGAGCTGAAGAAGGATCATACTTGAACCAAAAATGGCACTGGTTCTTCTTCAGCTCGATGTTCCGGTTCTCCAGCTCAGTAGTGCTGAGTGTGATCCTTCTTCAACTCGCTGATGCTTTCTGTCTGCTGCTGGATTATGGAACCCGCTCTGGTCTTCTCATGTATGATTCGCAGTTGCATAGCTTGCTGATATCTTAACAGAGACCTGCAATTTGTCATGCGGCGGCACGTAGCAGCTGATCCATCAACTGCGCGTCGCCCTCCTGAGACATGGACGGTGAAGCCAAACCCATCTCCGCGGCAGTCTGGAAGCTTTCCCTCTGACATGTCAACAACCGGAGTTTCCCACGGGAAGCTCTCGGACATTCAATCCTGCTAATTCGCACGCTGTTAATCTAGATGGCTCTTGGAGTGAAGAATACACAGCCACACATCTGGCATCACATGAACATAGCAGAATAGTCTACGGCCCCTGGCCCGAGGCAAATCGGAAAACCGCGCCCAGGCTCGGGGCACACCTGGAAACAAGACTAAAGCCACTGGTATGAAGGCTTGGGACTTTGGCCTGTGACCAACTTGTCTTCGGTCCCGTCCTGCAATCGCTCGTGTAAGACACTTCACGTCACTTCGCATGCAAGGTCCTCCCGGATGTACCTGGGTTCGAGAAGAAGGGCACCCTCCTTCTGCTGCAACCTCAGGATGAAATGTTTCAGTGCCTGCATTGGTACTTTGTGTGCTTCCGGTGTCTTAGGCACAGACATAACGAGCAGATTAACTGCCAGCTTCTCATCGTGAACCGAGAAATCCAGGTCGAGCTGAGCCTGCACGTTCATGGTGCGCGGCGTGCCCGGCAGCGGCAGGAGGTGCGCGTGCGCATGTATATGAAAGCGTGTGTGCGTATGTGTGCGTGTGTGTATATATATATATATATTTGTATGCGTGCCTGCGTGCCTGTGTGCTTGCCGGCCTACCTGCCTGCGTACCTACCTGCGTGCTTGCCTGTGTGCCTGCCTGCCTGCCTGCCTGTCTGCATGCGTGCGTGCATGCTTCGTGAGTGAGTGAGTGACTGACTGACTCAGTGAGTGAGTCACTGAGTGAGTGAGTG